TAAGCTAAAATCTAAAACAAAATATACATTATAATTTATAGATATACAAAAAATATAAGTTTTACATACAAACCATGCACAAGTAAAAATATTTTTGAGCCAAAGCATCAAGTTTGAATGAMATGTTTAGTAAATAAAGCTGATTTATTATACGAGTATATAATTAAATCTATTAATTATTTTGTCAATACAATTTATTTAATTCAAATAGTATTAGGTTTACAACAAACTATAATTATGAAAATGTTAAATATTAGTTTAATTTTATAATATTGAATAAATATAAAATATTGTTTATCACTGTTATATAATATTATATTCAATTTAATGTTTATTAAACGAAATTAGTTAATTAGGTACTTAATTAAATACAGAAAGTTACCTGTTGGTCATCATATAGTCATTTCTTAACTTATCAKAGCTAAAAAAGAGATATGGAAACATTTTAACCTTTTAAAAAATTGAGCAATTTCTAACGGCATAAAGCATTTATAATCTACCTATATAATTTAGAAACGACCATAATATTATATACCTGTACCTATCACCTTTAATCTCTAAGCTCCATATATTAAATTTAAATGAGGCATTATCAAAAACTACCTAATTAAAAAGTATTATTTAATTTATATGATTAGCTATGAAGATGAAAATAATTATMAAGTTGTTTTTTTTTCGATAGGTTAGTAGTCTAATATTTTTGGTTACGACCAATCTTATCATTAATATTTATTTTTCCTGGTAATTTATTCTACCTTATACCTATTGACTATATAAAAGATGAATTAAAAATACTGAATTCCTATTTTTTTAAATTTTTTTTTTTAAGTAATAAGTTAAAAAAACCTTTTGTTTGTACAACAAACTTATGTATACAAGTACTGTATACTGTATACATGTATACAAGCTACTGGTCTCATTCACTCACCACGGCAAAGTTATCCTGTCATGTACAATGATTTGTGTTTACAATATGATTTAAAATATAACCTTGCGTTTTTACAGAAGTAGGTAAAGTAAACCATGCCATTTAGTATAAACGTAAAGAACATTAGGTAAGTTATAAGGAAAAACAAATAAACAATTGTTAATGCATAAAAATTTTAAGATAATTTGAGGAAATATTATCTTAACTCATCTGAAAAGAATTTAGTGTATGTTAAAAAAAGATATATAACCACTTTGGTCTAACATATTATAGTGCAAATTACAATTATTTTTTAAAAATAAAATCAACCTAATTATTATGGATTCTAAAAGAAGTTATTGCATTGACGTAAGTAATTAATTGTATCTACCTATACATATTCTGTAGTAAAATATAAGCTTCAATATACAAATTTGAGCGTAGTTTCAGATAAAAAATTCAATTCAGTTAGTATTTTTAGTGAGTAAGAAAAAATTTCAAGTTCTTCAATAAAAAAACAAATAAATTCAAGTTTTTGACAATATTCAAATCATTTTAATAGAATTTATTAGTTGCAAGTTCAGTACTGGCAAATTTGTGGGCCATTATTACAAGAAGGTTGGGGAACCTTACAGGTGGTACACTGGTACCTATATAGGTATTTTATAATAATTTAATAATTAGGTAGTTATAATATTATAAAGGCTACTTTAGGTAGGTAGATAATAGATTTATTCTAACATTGATTTTTGGAATTTTCAAACATTTATATGTACTAGCACAATTTATTATATAAAAGGTTATTCACGAAAAATGCAGCTTTGGACAGCGATACACAATTAGGCACGATTACCTATAATTTGTTCATATAGGTTTAAATCATATTCATTATTTGAATAAATGAAACACACAATATGTGGATATATTTATATAAAAATATTATTATGTCCATATATATATATATGATATACAATATACATTAATAATAGATAGAACAATTCCTGTTGTAAGTGAAACGTGTAAACAGGAAAACTCGGTAAACAAACTTTTTCAATTACTATTAATGTAAAATTTGGAAAATCCATACCTATTGATGGATATTGTAATATTGTTAGAAAATGCAGAGATACCTTCATCAAAAATTATAACTGTGAACTGTTGCAGGTGTTACCTATTGACTTTTTGCCTTAAAATATTTAGTTCCTATAATATAATGGCACAGTGCTTCAACCATTCTAGTACTTGTTTACCGGTAGTTATTATGGTTTATAATATTTAGACCCGTATATTTTTAATAACAAAAATTTTTTTTTAAATATTAAATCATCCGTAGAAGACAAATTTGTCYGTCAGATGGTAGGTTTTAATGATTCTCCAGAAGCCCTAGCGATGATGTCACGAATGTTGTAGAATGCACCACCAATCAATGCTATCAAGCCGAGCAGAAGAAGTATCAGGTTCTTCACGTGTCGTATGAKTCGGCGACAGCAATTACCTCGTTTCGATGACCTGCGTTCTGCTCCACCAGCTGCAACAGCTGCCATTGTGGCTGACCCACCGGCCACTATAGCTGTCGTCCCCGATATCGTCACCGTCGTTACGTCCCAGCAGTCTTGTTCTTGACCGTCGTCGTTTTCGTCAGACCAGTACCATACAGTTTCCATTAAAACGGGCACTATCAGGCCCAGTGTTGAGAACCCGACAGAACCCACGAGCGATACGAGTGGTCCAATGTCTGGTATGGCTACGGCCACCACAACTGTAATATTTGGAGATAAATGAGATATGTTAAAAAAATTCACATGTGATGCTGTGGATGTGTGTGTGTTTAGGCACAACTAGGGTCAAATTTTAAAGTGGAGGGGGGGGGGCTGAAGAGGAGGGATCTGTTTTTTCACTACACCATTATACTGTTTTATTAAATTGGTATACTTTAAAATGGTTTGTTAATTGTAACCAATATAAAATTATTTAAATATTCAAATACATATAACATATATAATTATCTATATTATAAGAATAAATCGTGACCTTGGAGCCGAAAGCATACATTTCTTTCTAAAACATAAAGTTTATATATTTCTCTCTGTCGCTCTTCTAAACAGCYGATTAAAGTYATTTTAATATTCCGTTTTGTGAGCAGTCGTAGATGTTTATTTATTTATTTACTATCATTTTGAAATATAAAGCCTGAAATTCAGCATCATAAACATTCGATTTGGAAGCGTTATTAATAAAGCGTGGCAAATCGGTGGATATGCTGATGATATTGTAATAATAGCAAAAAATTATAGTGCTACGGGGGAAGCCTATTCTAATATTAAAATCAAGTGAAGTTTTATGGGATTAAAAATTAGYACAGATAAAACTAAAGACATGGAACTATCTGCAGTGGAAGCGCGGCGAAGGCTAAAGGTACAAAACATTACAATCGTACACTTCAAGTTCGAACATACGGCATTCGAACACATGACCCTCATACCACAGCAAGTACATGGTATATTATATTCATGCTTACTGGTGCCGAATATCAGGATGAACCGCATGCTATAGTAGTAAGTCATTAACTTTGGTGAAGAATCATCATCTTTAACTTCATCGTCGCTGTCAGTAGATCCACCCATGGATTTAATGAGCTTGTTACGCAGTCCCTGCCACGCCAGGTCAGCGGTGACGGTCAGCTGAAGTCCATACGTCAATAGGATGCCCAAAGCGATCATAAGTTTTATGACTTCTGACAAACTGACATTGAAAACACAATAATATTATAATATCATAAATCGTCATCATTAATATAATAACCTAAACATATCTTGTATTAACATTAACAATAACTTTAACTTAATTGCGTAAAAGACTACTATTAGCGTTAACAACGATAGCAGCCGATTGTGGATTGAAATAAGTCATATGGGCCCACTCCCTCTTAGTGCTCTGCACGGTGCGTTTTAGGAACCGGACCAGACTTTAAATTTTAACAAAATACTAAAGTCGGACTGGATCTTATTTAAAAGTAACAAGAGGACCAAATTCAGACCAAACCCATGGCTACATATTATTCATAGATCAAATCGCACCAATAATTAAATTAAATTTGATAGAGTACACTGGAATCAGATTGCTGGTTCAATCTTAAAACATTCTAGACCGTAAAAATGTATTAACTGGACCGGGCCAGACCGTAGAAGTGTATGGATCTGACCCTAAGTTTAGCGAGAAATGCTCAAACTAGATCATATAAATTTATTTTATATTAGACTGGACCGAACTGTATAGCTTAGTCTGTGTTTTTTTTAAATGTGCTTTGTGTGATGTTAAACATATTATGTGACGTATCAGTGTTGAATTGCCTACATGTGGAGCCACATGTGCGAAACATCTAATAATTCATTAAAATAAAGAAACGTTTTTCTTAAAAATATCTACATACTTTTTTTTTTGATTATGTCATGTTTATTTCCTTAAATAAATGATCTTTTCAATTTTCATTCACATTCTCTATGTAAAATAATTTCGATCTTTCATACTTGCCAGGTGTCTCTCGACGGCTCACTTTTTTTTACTCTTCGCTATAGTAGTCCTACACATCAATTATTAAGTAGTATTTTTCATATTTAAATGATGATTTTTTTCCAACGTGTTTACACTATTTTACACTATATGTATTTATTTAATCGTTGTTGGTAAATTGTTTGATATTTTAACAATTGAACTATTTGATTAACCCATTGAAATAAACTATTCTGAATAATAATAACAAGACTGTCAATATTAGAGTGGTCAATTAAAAAAAGAAAACGGTATTTTCCATAAGCTTACAACAGTTTAAAATAATGAGCGTATAACGGACTTGTTTCGTACACTGATAAACGCATTTAAAATAGCTATAACAAAAATTATTTAATGATCTTAAATGATAAAATTATATATATATATGTGATTATGTAAAATTATTTTTTTTAAATAGTTGTCATAAAATGTAACATGGTTTAAGTAAACAATTGGTGGGGGACATAGACGAAACTACGGGGGTCAGGCCACTATGGCCATAGCCTGACCTAATACCAACTGGATAATATACTGACATAATACAATTTTAAATTTAAATAAAAAAACTTATTTTATAATTAGAATTTTTTTTCATATTTTTCATTTGGCCTGYCCTAATACAATTTTCTAGTTTCGCCTATGGTAGGGGAATATTAGTACATGGAATATACTAGTATAATATATTAGAATATACGTAGTATATTACATTGAAATTCTAAAGAAGAATCTTATGCCTAATGGAAATATTAAAAACCAAAATCTAAATTATGTAAATCGTCTTCAACTGAGTTCAAGGACTACAGGTTTTTAATATTTTTTTTTACCTGCCTAAGTTATTATGGTTTGGTCTTGGTGACAATATTTTAGAATGTTTTAGTTTTATTTATCGTCAGAGTCATAGTGGATACATAATAATTAATTCTATAGGCATAACCAGAAACGAGTAAACGACTACCTATACTCATTTAGATTGTAGTAAATACGGAAAGTCTATATTATGATATTAAATATATTATACAACATTACAGTTTATATGCAACGAAAACGAAAAATCACCTCTCTTTCTTCGCATAGTATACAAAGTGGGTCATATAATACTGACTACACTAGTTTCTCGTCAAATTTGTAATCAAAAAATTAAAAATTTTCACATAAATTAAGTACTTATAACAGAAAAAACTTGCAAAGTTGAGCAGCATTAATGGTTTATTAAGTTAAAAATAARTAATGGAGTTTTTTAACTTATTAACTTAAATATTAATAGAAAATTAATAATAGTTAATATTTAATGACGAATAAGTAAATTAATAAGTATATGCAAACAATTTTATAATTAAATTTACATATGTAAATTAAACACAAATTTGTCAAATTATTTAATATAATAAATCAGAAGAAGCCGTAATCACCCGTATAAATAGCACATGGAAATGGCAAAGGCCATAAACCCAAACCTATTCTTATGGGTTGATAAGTTAAGTTACTTAATTTTTAAGGCAATTGACGTCAATTTTATTTTATCCCTAAAAATACGCTCCACGGGAATACTGATTCAGTCCTATAGTATCCTCCTAATTATTTTTAAATTATTAAGTAACTTTAAAAGTGGCCATTTTAATTTTTGTTTATTGTAGAGGACTTATATCAGTATATTATAATTTGTACAGTTTTTTTTTAATTTTCTACTCATTACACTGCTGCAGCTTACATTGTTTCATTATTATCTACTTTTCACTATACTTAGTTCAAACTACAATCAGAAATGTGGGGAACAASGTCTAGGTATTTATCACTTACTTATTTTGAGTATCTACTTATGTACCTGTAGTATTTACCTATGTTGTATTAATTTGTTGAAACATTCATCCAGGAAATTATGTAAATTAATTAACAAGACCACATACATTGAGAGTATATTTACAATAGAAAAGACGCAAAATATAATATAAGTACTCCTTTATAAAAAATATAGTATAATTTATTTAATAAAATTGATTTATTTGTATGTATTTTTTATATATTTTTTATTTATGTTTGAAGTATTTGCTTTATAAAATATAACTACATATTACTATATTAAATAATAAGCACATTAATTAAGTACACTAAAATATGAATTTAAATGATTCACGAATTTAAAATCCGAATAGAGTTCTTTAGTAAATGCTGCTGGTTTTAAAATGCATTTATAATATTTTATGTATAAAAACAGAGTTATTAATAATAATATTACTAAAATAACTATTATTAGTAGTATTAATAAATATACAATCACAACATGGTAAAATGTTCTAAAAAAAATTAATGTTTTGAGTTATTAACCTAACGTTTGTTTATCTAAATAAATTTTATCTAAAAATTGATTAAGAAACTAATCGAATCCACTCTGTATAACCTACCTAACCTGCTCTAACTGCGTAGTACCTTAGACCGCAAGCTGGTGCAGCTCTACAGGTAGCTGAAACGGAGGAAATATAATACGACACATTCTTACAATATGTGGCAACCTGGAGAATGGTTTTGTATGCAGTTTTGGAAAGTATTTTTAAAGAAACGCCGTCGTAGAGAAACAGATTTTAATCGTACAATAATATTATTATTATGTTTTAGATTAGTGGTTTTCTTTATTTAATTATTATTTTTATTTTATTTGATTGCATATATTTTACCAATATTATAATAATAGTATGGCACATATATTAAATTTTAATTTGACTAAAACAGTAAAACGCATATAGGTACTAACCGGTTGTCCTGTGGGAGATTAAGCGATATGCTACCTGCGCACTGATCTCCGTAACGCAAATACCCGAACAAGCCCAGCACGCTATTCATAGCGATGATTACCAGCATGGATTTGTGCAGCGTGTAAGCAGGTGGTCCGGTGAGTTCCAGCGGTCTCTTCATCGCGTTCTCGATGTGCATCAGCTTTTCGTGTGTTTGACAAGGACCGAATGATGACACGAGTGAACCAGCACATGTAAAGAGACGTAATACGTTAAGCCATGTTATCATACTATAGCCTATAGGCTTATATTAAATGCATAATAATGCGTGTGTAATATTAAACAATTTTATATTATATTATTATGTTCCTGCATAGCTAGGTGGCCGATATTTTTACTTGGTCAAGTTAAATTAWTACCGATTAGGATACTTCTCGCCCTTCCTGATTAAAAATAGTTAAAAGTTTTTAAAAAATTTGTATTTTCTTGACTAAACTAAGAATTAAAAATAAGCAATTGTTTTAAAAGTTTTTGTTAATTCGAAAAAAAAATGTTCTTGTTTTGCGAAATCATAGTAGATTATAATATCATACGATCGTACATTTGTCGTAAAATGTTTGTTGTAAAATGTCCATATTAATAATTAATAGTAAATATTAGATCAAATGCCTTTTAAAAAACTTTGAAACTATATTAAAAGGACGCCACACCAAAAAAAGTTATTCAAGTTTTAAACAATTAATTTTTAAACWATCAGAACTCTTTTCGTACACTTTATAGTCTGAAAATTTCGTTTCTTAGTTATGAGAAACTATTATTATTATAACTATAGCCTTCTCGGTTGTTTTACGCGAAAACATTTTTTGYTATGTTATTGTACGTTTGTAAGATGGAGACAACACATTGAGGGGATGTGGTGTCCTCTAAATAAAAGATGGAAATCTACAACGTACTATTAATTGTTGATGGTCATAGAAAAAATCATGGTGAATCGATTGGCATCCTAATAATGAATCAAAAGTACTATTCAAGTCAAATTTCTAGTCAAATCCACTGTTCCAAATTACAGGTTTATCCAAAACAAACTTTTTGCATACCTAAAAATAATATTTAGACAGTCAAAACGTACCTACTGTTTCCAGTTTTATGACAAAACATACTCCATATGATTTTAAAAAATGTTTTATTACTCGTGTTGAAAGTATTGATATGAAAAAAAAAGTTAATTCAAAATGTAATAAAATTTTATTAAAAAAATAGAATCAAATTTAAAATTAAAGTTAAATTAAAAATATAATCATAGCATATTAAACACGTTTCAATCGCTTTGAATATAAATAATATATTATTAAATGATTTTAAAAATTGACTACCTTCAAAATGATGTGTGTATAAAATTGTTTAAAAATAGTTTTATTTTTATATATTGTTAAGATACAAAAAATCATTTCTCCCGAAAAATCAGTATTTTTATGGTAATATGTTTTAGATTTGCACCCCTCATTTATGAAAATAATATTAGTTTTTAAAAGTTTGATCGTATTTGTATAATATACTTATTACAACAAATTAATTAAAACATAATATATATTATTTTATATATATATATTACTAACTATAGGTAACTATTACCATTCCAACGCCCTCCAATGAGCACAAGGAACTGCCGGCGAACAGCGTCCACCGGGTGGCCGGCCACACGATTAGCTTGGCTTGTTCCTCGGGCGCGAGTTGATTCGATCTGTCGTCACCGAATAAAATGAAGTAAAACACAGCCAAAGTGCCGGAAAGCATGCAAAAGTTGGCGGCCACTGAGAACGGGACTAGGAATTTGATCAACCGGACCATACCCACGGGGATGATTAACACCGAGACAAATATCGGGTACCAACGAATGGACAGTCCATGCATCAAATGACCCCACGAGTCCACAGCTGCGTCAGTGGTATAATGGTCGACGAGCTAAAACATGTCCGAGCGTGGGGCGCACACGGTGTAAATTGCGTTACGAAATTATTGCACATTTTTATAAATGTTAATGTTTACAGTATATTGTTAATTATTTGTAAAAATAATAGTAATGAATTACTCTGTAACCCTTATCCCTAATTCAATATTGTGTAGTATGAATATTTTTGTCCCGTTTTTTTATTGTAACCAATGGCAAAAACTGAAAAACATTATTTTATTTTTAAAAAATTAAAAATATTCATATTATGTACTACTTTTTGATAATATAAAAAAAAAACAATTTGAAATTAAATGAATATAAKCATTTCATATTTTCAATAATACAGCAAATTATATAAATTTTTTTCTTAAATAGCCAGTTTAGGTACATCCAAAAACAAACACACTAATTGTTGATAATTTTATTTTTTCCTACGAGTTTTCAAATAACTTCACTTAGATCTTTATTGTATTCTAAACACATGTTAATTTACGGCGCTTACCATTACCTCAATAACAAGACCCAAAACCGAACAATACCACACACAAAAATAGTAATCCACACAGATTTATAGAAAGATATATTATTCTAATTCCACTCAAAACAAATAGTACGATACTGCATAAATTTATTAAATATGAAAATTTATAAAACATATTATATAGAAATAAATAATTGAAAATAGCATCTAAATGGTCATAATTTGTAGTAATATAGTATAATAGTAATAAAAATACAATTACTGAAATATAAATATTGTAGGCACYTATAATGGTTTAAAATTTAAACTTGTAATTTTTTATATTATATTCCATTATAATATATTGATTTTATTTTAAATCTCACGTACGATGGTTCATTCATCTTTTGCAGATAAAGCTTAATAATTTTGCTGTAGATTATTGTCGATAATCGTCCAAAATAAACGTGTGCAGTCATGGGATATCCAATATTTTTRAATCTGCGTGTGGTTTTTTCCCATGCGTATTTTGCGCGTTTGTGTGGTTATAGGCGACGCTCTTAATTAAAACTACTTACATTTAAAGTGAATCGTAGTTAAAATCAAACTAAGTCTCAATGTTTAAATACACGAATACACTATAAAGTATTAATATAAGTCAKTAACGACATTAACTATTAGTTATTACAATTATAGTATAAACTATAAAGTATACTCTAAAAATGTCAAGTACTAACGAATAATACTTTTAAATAATTACAACAATATAACTAACATAGTTATTATTGCTTATTTAAAATGTAAAATTATCCAAATTTGAACTAAAAATAAATATTTAAAAAACTGTGGTTGTATAGTTTCTAAATTTTTTTAATTGCAGAATTAACAACTTACGTGAAACCTTGTTTTAAATATTCAATTCTTAAAACGTTAAACGTTTTATAAATTTTTAACAATTTAATAATTTGTAMATTTTCAATTAAATACATTTTGTCAAAATTTKAACTTTAAACAGTTATAAAAAAAAAACGTGTTAATGTATTTTTAATATTTTCCAACTGCTTTATATCAACTTATGGAGAACCTTGTATTCAATTTTCAAGCGTTTTGATCCAACAAATAAAATMTCATTGAAGTGTATGAAATAAAAAGCTTATAAAAGGAAATTTCAAATCTGCATTAATTACCTAAAAATTGTTGAAATATTTTGAAAATTCGATCATGTATAGAAAATACTATTATTGAAAATTTCAAGTATCTACCTAAGATAATTTTTTTTAGAGTTACACCAATATCTAAAATCGATTTTCTCAAAAACCTATTTTGCATAAAATTTCCCATTTTTCCTAAATTTTTTTGTATCTCCCGGCGCTATGAAAACCACTTGAAATTTTTTTAATTTTGACCTTTCAATGCACCAACTTAATTCACTTTCTAACCGAAAAAGCTACAGAAGTTTAAAATCGAAACATTATTTTGACAACTTATCGTGTATACAGGCACAAAAAATAAATAAATTAAAACACACTGCATTATTGTAAAGTCAATATATTCATCGGTTTGCTCAAAATCTTAATAGGTCTATCAAATAGCTTTTCTCATGTGTTGATAAAAATTGATATATAAAAACCAAAAATATATTAATCGTTTTTTATAACCTATAGTAAAATATTATATAATTGTAGATATATAAAATTATGRTTCCAAAATATTCACACTACATCTATAATTAGGTCTATAGAGATCCAATGAATGAACATAATATATTAATATGTATATATATATATGTATATCCAGACCCAAATAAGGTTACACCTACCTGCTTACACGTACTTGACACGATGCACACATATATGATGTTCACCCCGTAATACGTGACCACCAGGGATATACTTGTAAATTTTCTGTTATCAACAATATTAATGTTGTGGTTGCGATTGATGGAACATAAAAAACATTTTTGTAGATTAATACATTTGTTTTGATATTTATTGGCTGACCTCATTAAAATATATTATCTTAAACTTAAAAAAAAAATTACAGTTAAAGCTTTTTATTAGCATCAATATGCAGTATCACAATGGTTAACACAATGTGTSCTAAATATTATTATTATTTTACTGCATTGCAGCAATGAAAAGTAGGTACACAAAAGCMGTATGAATTTCAATGAATCAAAGTAATTAATCTTTCAGAATCTCTAATCTAACATACGCATATACCTACTAAAGACAATGTATTATTATTATATACATATTATTAGTTTTTTTTAATATTTGTATTACTTTTTGTTTATTTTATTGACTAAAAATATATTACCTGATCAATTTATTTATCATCATGGTATCGTGTATGTGATTAATTTTTCATTATTTATGTATTTTTATGGACCTACCTAACAACTTTTATTACCTCTCAATAAAGCACTAAGGTTCAATAAAAATTTGTTTGTACCATTGTTCATTGGTATGCTATTTCTAATCGCTATATCAATTACCTATAGACGATAGGCCTATGGATCTAGGACATTTTGGAGTGGCCGTTTTGGCATGAAGCCATTTTGACGTGAAACCGTTTTGGCGTAAATTCTCAGGTTATTTAAAATAAAATTATTTATTATTATTTATTCAATTTAAAAAAATTCAGTTGATTAAAAAAATTTAAAAAATCTAAAAAAATACAATTGACAATTGATAACTGATAATAAATTAAAAAACTTACTAAAAAAACATTATTATTGTAAAGAAATATTATGTGCTACACCTCTTAAATATGTTAAAATGTCTCGTGTATCTGTTTCTTGAACTATTTTTAATAGACGTTTATCTGTGTCAATAATTTCTTGAGCTTTTTAGGGGGACTCTTTCCTGATTCCAATTGAAATAAATAAGTATCTCTTCCAGCTTGAATCTTTTTTAAACACGTTATAAATGATCATAATGTTGGATGAACCATTCCCATTTCAATTTTTTGTCAGATGAAAGAAACAACCATAAATAATAATATTTGGGAAATGTTTTTTCATTGCATTTATAACAGCTAATTCAAAGTCTAATGAAATTGATGTAGGATTTAATCAAGTACATAGATTTCTTAACATTTGAAAAAGTTTTTCATACGTTTTTGTATATTTATCAGGCAGTAATGCATATATATAATATATATATATATATATATATATAATAGGGTGTAGTACACCATTTAAATATTCGGCAAGTATGACTTATTATAGTACTTATAATGGTAAATTAATTAATATAATAACCTGAGACACTTACGCCAAAACGGCTTCACGTCAAAATGACTTCATGCAAAAACGGCCACGCCATAACGGCCGCGCCAAAACGGCCACGCAAAAACGGCCACGCCAAAACGGCCACGCCAAAATGTCCCATTTCGTAGGCCTATTGTTATTGCTTATGATTAGTCATTAGTTAGTATTCGTACCTCAAGAACGTCGTATGAGAAATTTTTTATCTCATAAATTTTAACGAATTTTAATTTTAATGCGCCTAAATCATATGGAAAAATTAGGAATTTTTACACTTCACATAGTTTAAAAAAATAATCTAAGAGTCAACATATTATCAGTTGATACAAATTAAATTCTAGCCGTTGGCAAATCATATACTTGACCTAACCCCTCTTCTCCCCCAAAAAATTGTATAATGGTGGCCCTTCAATTCTCTTTCCAAGTATTTAAGACAGACAAATAAAAAATAGGTAGTTTTGCACATTAAGATGGGCCCTCCCTGCATAAGTTGCCTTCGTTTTACAAACGTATAACATAGCATAATATTGTACATTCAAAATAATACATTAATCAAGGTTTTTTTTTAATAATTTAATTTCGAAATAAGTTATAAACAATTGTTTACAAAAAAAGAAAATGTACAGTTTTAAAATGCTCATAATTTGCATTTATAAATAAAAATTAACAAAGGCCTCCGAAATACCCTAAAATATTATTTTAACTTGAAATTTTATAGTCTATCAATTCAAAATTACTATTTTATAATTTGTTAGTAATATCAAAAATATAGTGATTATTTAACAATTATTATATAATTATTAATAATTATATAACAATTTTAATGTTGTACGTCCGTAAGACGATGCCAACACATGTTGGTATGGTAAATAATTTCGAAAAATATTAAAATATTTATAGTTGATTGCATCAATGAACAWATTAAAGATTAGTCATTGCATAATGAATGATCAGTGATTCTCACTTACAAATGTCACAAATATGCACTTAAATACACTATAGAGTGACCAAGCGATACGGCTTACATCAATATAATTTCTAAAGTTATGAGAATTGGTCAGCCTCGTATTCATAAAGATAAATATATACCTAGTTTATATAAAGGACCAACATATATTTTCATCAAAACTGTAAATTTGTTACTTTATATCTATAAATTATAATATTCTAGGGTAACCACAGTTGCATAAAGTTTCTGGGATGTCAATGGAATTACGGCCTTTCATTACCAAACCCTTATCACATCGTCAATAAATCAAGGTACAGATAATATTTAATTATTTATATGGTGATAAACGTACCTGGCAAATGACGCAAGATGAGCGAACCGGCCACAGGCACGATACTTGAACACAGCGGCCACAGTGTCAGGATAATCCATTGGAGGCAGAACTAACTGATTGCTGTTCCGCCGTTTTGGTGGCAGCTTACTATCATCTTTGTCATCAACTTCTCCATTGSCCACCGCGTCGTTCTTACCGTTCTGTTCGGCCAAGATGATGTCAACATATTTGCCGGACCGCAATGTCTGCGAGCACATGACCTAAATCGTAAAAGAAAAAAATCAAAACTATAAATTATAACTCCAAAGTTCCTTTGAATTATTAAAAAAAAACAGAACTTGTCCTACTAAATATATTAAACAATAATCGTTTGAAATATTTATGAGTTTGATAATATTTATAAACAACGATTTTGATTATTTTGTTGTTGTTCACAAAATTATATTCATAGAGAAACTACATAAAATTGAATATAAATTTAACACATTCTTTACAGTGACCTCGTTAATAATGAATAYTTTTACACCTACTATACAGCAGACAGAATTTTCCGAGTTTTTAAATGTATTTGGGTGAGGCCTTTTTGAACGAATTCTTAACTAGGTAATATAATGACTTAGTTTAATTTCCTAATGTTATTTTTAAGTTTATCATTATTCTTGCTTCTATGTTATTTTAGCCATTGTATCTAATACATTAATAAATAATTATTAGACAACATACCTATCTAATGAGCTAAACAATTTATACCGATGGAAAGTAGTATTTTACTTAATAACGGAAAGCTGAAAACAGAACAAAAATCACTGACTCATAATTCACATTTAAAATATAATACTATTATAATGTTATGAAAGGTAGGTATATAGAAAAAATTGTGTTCATTCTGCTGATTTATAGAAGATGTTATATRTACCTCATCACGGAGGTCATAATAATAGATGCATTCAATTTGGATTTAATGTTAGTTCATAGCATACGAAAATTGATTCTGAGCGGAGACTATTTGTTAGTTTATATTACTTTCATTGTATATTTATATTTCCATGATAATAATTTACTTTAGTATTATGAATACATTTTTTCAAAAATATAGTATTTATTATTATAATAGTACATATCTATATACGAGTATTTATATTTAATTATTTTTTTAATTGATTGGTACTTATTAACTTATTGTAATTAGATGTGAATAAGTAATGGTGGTTCATGGTATAAATAGGCGATACCTTAAACTCATAATGCAWATCTAATGTTGTTTATAAACGACTGCCTATGTTTATAATGGCATCTAATATCTAAAACAGTTATGTTTAAAATGTAATTGTGTAGCTATGTATAATAGAACCTAATAATATAGCCATATAGGTACATAAAAGTTTTAAATAATATGTTTGATTGTTTTAGTAGTATTTTGTAAATTATTTTCAAGTTTTAGAGATTAAAATTCATAATTTTTAATGAAAAGGTAATACAAAGATCTTCAAAAGTTATTATAAGTTTATTGTAAAATTTACTAATATTAGACAATTTTCATGTAAGATCATTTTTCGCATAGATGGCACTTGGTGGGGGGGGGGTCATGAGGGGGCAGTTGCCACCCCAAAAAAATCTTTAGGGTGGCAAATGTATACTTTTGCCCTCCCCCCAACAAAAAAACCTATTATTTCAATCCTTTATTAATGAATCGTAATTCGTAATAATTGAATAATCGAAATTCGAATATTGATAAAATGATAATTATTTTTGAATTTAAACATTGTTTTGTAATTCAAAGTAAAGTTTAAAGTTATTTTTACAAAATATATAGATATGTGTAAATCTAAAATGTGAATTATTATTCAAATATTCATACCCCAAAATACAATTGTTATTAGTTTGAAATAWCTCCTAATATTTTAGCTTATATTTTTAAATTATTATACTTTATTTAAGTAAATTAAGTYAAAAAACTTTTTTACTGAAATCAATTTTGGTGAAAATACACTTCATACAAAAAAAAAAATTAAATCAATGTTGAAATTTTTTTGGGGATGATTGGGTTATGAAAGTCAATTAATTGTTTGCCCCATCCCCTGGAATCATCACCAAGTGCTGCCTATGATTTTTCGTTTACGTAATAAAAGGATTACAAATTTATTTTTCATTAGAATCAATTACTACATAGACTGTTTCAGTAACCTAATCACTACTATAACAAAATACATCCAAGGGCGTAGCCATGAATTTTCAAGGGG